AATCCCATCAATACCAATGAGAAGCAGCTGGGACCTGAGGGTGGAGCTGAGCAGCCAGGTTGGGATAAAACCAGACATGTGGGCTCTGGGGATTCTTGGCCTGGTGGTTCGTGGCTGGTCATTTGGCTCTCGATGAGCTTTCAGTGTGCTATTGGAATCCAAGTCAGCAGAACTGGTAGGATGCTCTAGTTAACTTGTATTTCTCTCTCTCTCCCTGGGTTTTTCCTTTTCCTTTCTCCTTGTAAATAAACCCATTATTGAAACTTTTGTGTGCGTGTCCACAGTACAATTGAATCTTTTTTTTTTTTTCACCAGAGACAGAGTGGGGAGCAGCACAGGCAGATTGATGAAGTACACTGCTGAGGGGAGCAGCGGGCAGGTCAGGAGAGGTCTGCCGCGCCATGTGGTCTCCTCCAGGGCAGGCGGGAATCGAACTCAGGCGGAAGTGGCTTTAGCGTCTCAGTGCTGTGCTTTAACCTGCTGTGTCACTAGGGAGGGCCACAATTGAATCTTAAGCATGTGGGTAAGGGCCCACAGACAGGCAACTCTGTAACAATAGGAGAAAAATAGGACAATAGCCAGAGGAGGTTGTGTGGTCCAGGTTATTTGTAGAAGATCATTTATCTTAGTAACAAGATCTCTCTCTCTCTCTCTCTCTCTCTCTCTCTCTCTCTCTCTCTCTCTCACACACACACACACACACACACACACACACACACACCACCTCAAGAGAATACATAAATTCATCTTATATTTAGGTTGAGCATCAGTAATGCTGGGGTTGAAAGTGAAGGGAGATGCCCCTTGCGTCCACTCAGGTCTCACTGGCCACAGGAGGACTGGAAGCACCCACTGCCACCCTATGGGGTCCCCTGCATTGCCCTTCTGGGGAATCCAGAAGGAAGCTTGGAGAGTGAGAGCTGAGGGGGGTATCTGAGGAAGGGGCACAGTGCCTTTGGGCCAGCACGGAGGGGCCAGCCATAAGCAGGGACGGTGACGTTCCTCCTCACCCCCCTTTCTTTCCTCAGTGCTAACCCTTCCCCTGTTTTTCAGCCCCCGTGGATGAAGTCAAGCTTTCCTTCCTGCTTGACAATGTGGTGGAGTCTGGGAAAACCATTGCCCTTCAGTGCGCCGTGAACGAAGCATCTGGCCCAATCACCTACAAGTTTTACAGAGATAAGGAGGACAGGCCATTCTTCGAAACCTCCTTGAATGACACCCAGGCCATTTGGCACAGAACAGAGGCTAGCAAGGAGCATGAGGGACAGTACTACTGCACAGCCCTCAACCGAGCCAACCCGCCCAAGAGCAACACCCCCCAGAGCAATATCCTGACTGTCAAAGGTGAGTGATATGTACAGGAGAGCAGGTAGTGTGGGCTCTCAGGTCAGGCACGGCACTCTGTAAGGGGGAGTGGTGAGACTTCAGTGCAGTGAAGAGGAAGAGACTGACATCTAGGTATTCAGTTGTAGGTGACACAAACCTACTCAAAATCAGAATAAAAGGTGAATGAGGCTCTCCCTGGTGCTGCAATGGGTTAAAGCACCGCATTATGAAGCTCTCCAAAACTACTGCAGTACAAGTTCACTCCCCTGCCAGGGAGCTGAACCACAGGGCACGGCAGACCTCTCCTGACCTGCCCGCTGCTCCCCTCAGCAGTGTATTTCAGTACATCTGTCTGTTCTGCTCCCCACTCTGTCTCTGATGAATCTTCTCACCCTCCTCACTTCTGTCCTGTACCCCAGTTCTGTAAGCATAAATAAATAAATCTTTAAAGAAAAAAAAAGTGAATGATTATCACAAGGAATTGGAAGGAGAACTTCACACTGTCTGAATTCCAAATTTTCAGCACAGAGATCTCAATGAGCCCATTTTTGGTAAAATATTCACCCATAGACCCTTTGTGGCCATGGGGATTAGGTCTTGCAAAAGAGTAATTCTTTAGGGGAACCCACCTATTTGGGGATAGGGTGGTTTCCTAGAGATGGGGTGCTGAACACACCCCAAGGAGTCTGCGTCAGTCCCAAGGTCCTTCAGACCACAGCTGACTCCAGCAGAGGCCGCCATGTCTGGGCCACTGCAGACCTGAGACCCTCACAGGTGGAGGCCCAGGGCAAGATGCCAGCCAAGAGGCCTGTGAAAATTGTCCTCTTTGTTGCTTAAGGGTGATATGATTTCCTGTTGGCAGAAAAAGACCTACCTATTTCATTTTGCTTCATTCCTAGTCTTTTTTGCCCCCTGGAAGAAAGCACTCATCGCCGTGTTTGTCACTGGAGTGATCATCGCCGCCTTGATCCTCGGGGCCAGATGCTATGTCCTGAAGAAAGGCAGAGGTGAACCAGGGCCCTCCCTCCTGACCGGGCCTTGCTGGGGAGGTCACGGACATGTGGGGCTGCAGCTTCTGGGGTGAGAGTGGGGCCCACTGGAGCTGCACCCCAGTGGGGACTGAGGAGATGCCACAGTGATTAATTGTTCATCTCCTGAGGGCGTCACCATGATCAAAGATTTGGGCCTGGGTGGGCCTCTAGATTTAGTTAGGCTAAATCCAAAATCAAAATCCTAGATGAAAAATCCTAAATGAAAGTGATTGCTTTTTGAACTGGGGAGTCAGAAAAGAGATTTGGGGCCAAGTTGCATTGGCATGTAGTTAGAAGAAGCTGCTGCTGTGGATTCGGATACAGCTAAACCTGTCATTGGTAGAGTGGACTGTGAGCATCACACACACACACACACACACACACACACACACACACACACACACACGCCTAGCACCTCACAGATATTGAATAATGTCCTATTACTGTCGTTTGGCTGTAATTTCCATCCTGTGCTTGGGGTTAACCACGCAGGAAGGAAAATCAGGATCAGTCGCTCACACCCAGGAATCGAGTCAGCTAGTCCAGACCCAAAGTCAAGGGCACAACAGCAGTAAGTTCTGCCAGGGTATCTTGTGGGGTAGGGTGGAACCAGGGTGTTGCTGCCCGGGACCAGAGGGGTCCACGGAGTGAGGGCGGATCCCGGGCTGCTAAAGAGCAGGAAAACTACCCCCATGGAGACGGCTCCGGAACGGTTACCAACCTATAGGCTCCATGTGGAGTCGGGGAGCTATTTAGCTTTTCCTTTGCAGAATGGTCTTGAATCCAAAAGGCAGCTGTGCATTTAGCAGGCTAATCTGGCCCCGCACCACGTGTTCAGCGCTCTCACAGCCCACGAAGGAAAATTGCTCTTTACTGAAACGATCAAAATGTCAGGGGAAATGGTGTGAAATTTCTTGGTAATGAGACCTGCTTCATTTGTTTATGAAGTGGGACTGCATTTGGCTTTCTTTGCTGTTCTTAATGGTTCTACATCTTCCAGAAAGTCATGGATTGTTAACATGAACACCTCTCTCTCTCTCTCTCGTTGTGGACTAGCGACTTTATACTGACTTTAGTTTTTTCTTTCTCTTTTAAAGCCAAGCAGATGCCAGTGGAGATGTCCAGGTCAGTATCTATGGAGGCAGGTGGCTGCCCCGGGGGGATGGACAGGCTTGTCTCTAGGGAGTCTTCAGAGTTTAGAAAATTTTCAGTGGTTCCTGAAAAATTCAAGAAAAATGAAGAACCTTGGGTGTGAGTAGCAGGGAGCTGCCTGCGTGCGTGTGAATGTGTGTGTGTAGTTTCGTCTTCATGGAAAACTGCCAACTCTGCTTTCATGGGAAGGAATAGTTTTATTCTGAGGTCATGTCCTTCCTACACTATTAACTTGTGAATCCCCTCCCCCCCTTCATGAAATTATAATGGTAGTAGATGGAATTTTAAAAATGTACTTACTTGGCAAAACAAAGTTAGCCTGAAAAAATGATTGTGTTATTTTTACTGTTTCTTGAAATCACAAATCTAAAAGCATGGACAGGGTAGCTCTGTTCCCCTAGAGACAGAAGCACCAGGACAGGGAATTTAGAGGGTTGGGATTTACCTGATAAAAGGTTCCTTTGGCTCTAACGCTTTAACAGCAAAAAGTGTTTGCAGGCAGCATTATTTATAGTAGCTAGGATTTGGAAGCCACTGAAAGGTCCATCAAGAGAGTGGAAGGGGGCCCTCCCTGGCGGCACAAAGGGTTAAAGCGCAGCACTGTGAAGCTATGGGCAGCCACTGGGGTGGGAGTTCGATCCCAGCCAGGGAGCTGACCCACATGGCGTGGCAGACCTCTCCTGACCAGCCTACTGCTCCCCCAGAATGTGTTTCAGTAGATCTGATGTCGTTTCTGGAGTTAGTGCGGGGTCATTGGCTTCACCCTAGGAATGGTTTCCCCAGAACTCCCCTTTCAGTGGCACACGGCGAGGTCCCAGGCGAGTTTCTCCATGACACAGACTCAGTTATAGTTAAAGAGCGGGCTTATTAGGGAAAAGGACAGGAGCATCGGACACTTGCATAGACTGAAGCAGGCAGGGAGAGCTGCCCCAGAAGAGACAGGTTTGCAGAGAGACGTCTGCATGGTTATAGGCGCAAAGCCTGAGGAGAGCGGCCTCTGCTGAGGGAGGTCAGTGCAGAGAAACCCCCGCCATAGTGCAGGTCACGGGCAGGCAGGAGGCTGCTGCCCTGCAGCGGGAGAGAGCCGGTGGGAAGAAGCTTAGGCACAGGTGGGCAGAGGACTGCGGCCCCGTGCCAGTTGAGAGACTGCCCTGATATAGACATCTTCTCTTTGGGGGGACTCACTCTTTGTGAGCCTAGGTTTGTTGATTTTGAGTAGAATCTGAAAGGGACAGGAGATCCCACAATGAGCTCCATCTCCATACCTTTATCTTTCACCTTGTGGGTCTGTGATAGACACCCCTACGGCAGTCTGCTACCTGCTTGGGTCTTCAGCTTTGTCACCCAGGCATTTGGTCCCTGAGGATCTTGGTTTCTATACCTGGGTCAATGGCTGTGCTAGTTCCTTCTGCTCTAGACCCTTAGTGTGAGTTGGTCTTCAGGTACCTCCTTACTATTATTACTTCCTCCATCATTTCCACCTGATGTGCTCCCCACTCTGTCTCTGGTGAATCCTCTCGCCCTTCCACCTCTGGCCTGTACCCCAGTTCTTGTGTGCATAAATAAATCTTTAAAAAAAAAAAAAGACAATTGGCGGGAGAAGATCTGGTGTGTATCCATTGGGATTCAGCCACAGGAATGATGAGACAGCCGTTCACAGCAGAGAAGGGGCTGCAGGGAAACAGGTTCCAAATGACAAAGGAAAAGACTGGACACGGACCTAGCAGAGGATGGGGCCCAGTAAAGTGCTCACCAGAACTAGCGGGCACTCGCAGGCACCTATACATGAGCCGAGGGCTCTGAGGTTAGAGGCATGGGGCAGGAAGGGGTGAGGCGGTAGGGAGGATGATGAAGGGGAAAACAAAACGTTCATTATAAAAACCGATTTTGTCAACATGATCTTAGAATTGAAAAACATGTTTTTCAAACTAGAATGTAGTTTTCCTCCTTTTGGAAACTCTTCCTGGTTTTCTTATGGTCTTTGCTTGATTCTTTTGTTGGTTTGGGGTGAAAGCCAGCACAAATATGGTCTAATTTTTTCCCTTTTCGGTTTCCTTTGAAGGCCGGCAGCACCACTTCTGAGCTCCAATAGCGAGAAGATGTCGGATGCCACCATCGAAGCCAGCAGGCATTATGGTAAGTCCTGGTTTCCTGCCACTCCTGAGACTTCGCCCAGCTCCTGCACTCACCTCCCCTCCCAGAGGCAGAAGCCCTAGGCGTGGGGCTCAGGTTGGAAGGGAAGCCCTGGCTTCCAGTAGAAGCATGTAATCTAATCAGCTGGTGAGCTAAGAAGCAAAACAAAGATCTTGGGAGAAAGACAGAACATTCTACTCTGGTTCACCTCCTTCTAAACATCCTGAGAATGAAAGGTGGAGAACAACACCCATTCTGGGTCACTTTCAGAGTCTTTGACTATTAGCCGAATGCAGTCATGCTCGGTAAGAACCCAGACAGCAGATGAAAGCTTTGGTGAAATATCTGCTCTGGTGAAATTCTTCATTAAAAGAACAAGGCGGTTTTTATTTCAGACTTGCCATGACAGGAGGCAAGTTCAAGTATTTCATTGTTACTGGAGGAATTAAAAATAAAATGGGAAGGGATTCTTGGTTAAAAGGCTCAACTCAAGGTTAAGGTTCAGTTAGTAGGGTGCTTGGTCAGTCCCAGTGGGCTATGGAAAATGGCTCAAGCCTTTTAGCAGGGACCCTAATTCCCAGTGGGGTCAAGGCAGGGAGAGGGCATAATTACATCACACTAACGTTCTGTCCCAGACTAGATTTGGGGCTTTCTTCTTTCTTTGGGAATAGATTGTCCTTATTCTTTTCTAATTCTCTAACAGTATCCCACAAAATAAGAAAATGTTCAAGTATGCCTTTGGTAAGGCACAGTGAGAACTATATCTTAAAAATGAGCAATTCTTGCAGGATTGAGTCATAAAATCAGGACATGACATAAAACATTTGACATCACAGAAGTGATATACAAAGAGAAGAAAGCAGACACATCACTTAGACACTAGATTCAGAAAAGTCACTATGTAGCAAAATGCTAGCGAGAAAATACCCTTTTTTGATATTTGTATTAGTTATATAAAATACAATTTTTACGTAAATACTATTTTTAAATCCCTAAATTTCCAGAATGCAAGAAATACTCATTATATTGTCTCTGCGTGGGTTATCTTGGTTTACAACAATATTTTAGTGGCCATAATAGTAAGTTGGTTCACATACATAATGGAAAGCCAAGTGTTTCATCAGGAATAGTGTTTACATCACTTTCAAGAATTCTTTTTAATAAAGAACAACATGGTAAAAAAGACTTTAAAATTTTGCACCCCAAGGTGGTCGCCTCGGGGTCCTGCTCAGTTCTCTGCTGGGGAGCTGCCTTGCCGGCGTCCTCATGTTCATGGTCATCCCTGCTAGAATTAACTTTTGTTTTCAATAAGCTTGTTCCAAGCAAACATTCCTGAACTCTGATCAGTTCAACCACAGAAGCATCCCTCTGTGGAATGGTGGGTCACTGGGGACCTGCGAGTTGCCAGCCTCGCTCTGAAGAAGTTCAACTTGACTTCCTTTGTTAGTGGCACTGACCTTTTGAAACAGTTTATCTAGAAAACTAGAATTTCCACTGTCATGTATCCTAATTGTCATTTTTCAACTAGGTTACAATGAAGATGTTGCAAACCATGCAAAGAAACCAATAAATGAGAATAAAGGTAATTATCATTACTAATAGAAACCTTTAGACAAAGAAAGACCCGGAGGAAAAGAACCCAAACTCTTAAGGCCTGTGAATATTTTTGCAGCTCTCTTACTCACCCTGTCACTGGCTGACTTGTAAAACAGAGATGACCGGTAGCTTTCTCCAAAGTGTCCTTCATGAGAGACATTACCTAAATCCCAGTCAAAACTAACTAGGTTCAATCCCAAAAGGAGCTTCCTGATTCATAGGGGCTAGGGCTACTGAATCAGATGGGAGGAGCTTCTCTTTCTTGGATAGTAGAGGCAGAAGTGGCTTTTTTTTTTTTTCAAGATTCATTTATTATACATACAGAACTGGGGTACAGGCCAGAAGTGCAGGGAGTGGTGAGAGGATTCACCAGAGACAGAGTGGGGAGCAGAACAGGCAAAGTGACAAAGTTCACTGCTGAGGGGAGCAGCCGGGAGATCTGCTGCGCCATGTGGGTCACCTCTGGGGCTGGGAATCAAACTTGTGCTGAAAGGGCTTTAGCTTCTTAGAGCTGCGTCTACCCGCTGAGCCACCAGGGAGGGCCCAGAGGTGGCTTTTAAAACAGCATGGGCCACCAGTGATCCCGTCTGTACCTCTGAGTCCATGGTAGTTCAGCTAGTCTGGGGGAAAGCACCGGAGGCTGGTGGGGCGGGGGAGGCACTGGGTACTTGGGAGGCAGTGGAATTGTTCTTTTTCTTTAAAAGATTATTGGATGTTTAGGTTTACATTTTACATATAACTTGCAAAGATTTTCTGTCTCCTACATAGTCACTAAAAATGAAAAGTACTCTAAAAAAATTAAATAGTGGTCTTGTTTTTGAAGACAATTAACAAGAGTTTGCTTCACCCAATTTAAAATTCCTTTCCCCTGTGGCTGCGATCTTGGGAGCCCAGCCCTGCAGAAGCCCAGGGATTCTACAAACACGAGCCTGGAAGGCTATTTTAGTTGCTATCGAGGAAACTCAGTTCTTTAGGGCTTCAAAATTATAACAGCACTAAAGCAAGACCAACAAATGTTCTAGATTTCTCTGTAGCGCCCTAACACTCGGTTATACCTCAGACTCTCAAAACATTTTTAGTTGGGGTCCCGACTCCCCATTTCTTGAGATCCTCTCCATCTTGGAAGTAACTTTCTCTGCCTGGGGCCTGGAAGAAGGTTAACAGAGGTGACTGCTGTGATCGATGCTGGCTGTTTTGTTCTACTGAACATTTACAGATCCACTCTGGAAGCCTCAGGCTGGGGGTGTCTTTCCCCATGGAGGGGGTGCGGTGACATTGCTCCTCCATCAGCCTGAGGTTTCCCACCAATTTAGAATGAAGTTCAGCCTGTGCCTGGCTCCCCCTGAAAATCTGGAGGACCTGAATCCTTCGGGTAGGTCCCCCACAGAGACCCTGTCTCACCCCTGGGCGCTGTGGTTCTTTTGAGCAGAGCCTCTGACCTTGGACGTGGAGTACACAGAGGTGGAAGTGACCTCTCCAGAGCCCCACCGAGGTAAGGCCTACAGCGTGACGGAGCCGCGTGAGCTGTGGCCGAGTCTGGCCACCCCAGTAGCTCAGAAGGGGGGTGGTTAGCAGAGACTTCCCCTTCCCCCCCGCCCCCAGACATGCCACAGGCAGGAGACCCTGAGGAAGGAGGGTCCAAGACTGGACAGGAAAACAAGGAACCCAGAACTAAATAAATAGTACAGGGTCACAGCACACGCTCAAGAGGATGGGATAGGGAAGGCGGGAAAGGGGTGTCTCTTCTGGCTTGGGTGCTCCCAGAAGGCTTATTTGAGGAGAGGCATTTAGATTAGCCACTGGGGCTGCTGAGAAGGCCACCCCACCAAAGGAGGACCCAGGAGGGCAGCCGGCCTGTGAGGTTCCCTGCATTCTAGTCTCAGTGCACTGGGAGCCTTTGGAAGCCTTTAAGCTGGTCCCCACTTCTTCCTTTAAAAATTCTCCTTGTGAATGATGGCTTGAAGGGCACGAATGGACAGGGGAGACCAGTATGTGATCAGATGGGGGGCCACTGGGAGGGATTCTAGGTGTATTTTGGAAACACATTGCTGTAGAACATGGGAAACATAACGACCAGGAATTCAGGCTCCTTGACTGAATAACTGGGGGGCACCGGCTGATGGGGGGATCTGGCCCCAAGAAGAGACTTCAGATCATGGGAGGCTGTGGTGATGGGATGATAGGTTCCTCCATCATCTGCATCCTGGGCTCTGGCCAGAACAGCCAGCTGTTTAACTTTCTCTTTAAAGGGATTTGGGGCTCGGAAGAGTGTTAGCGAATCCCCTAAGGTGCGGTGCATGAATGCTTCAAATTCAGAAACCTGGCTCTGCTTGACAGATCAACAATGCTGTCCCCTGATAAGCAATAAAAAAGGAAGAACTCTGCAAAACGACAAACGCCTTCTCCCGGAGCTTCAGGAAGGGGTTCCCCCTTAGTTGACCTCCTCCAGTTTGCACATGATGCTTTGGGGTGGAGTCTGGACAGTCAAGCACTGGAGGGGCTTTTCTGGACCCTCTTCCTGGCAGCGGAGGGACAGTGGGTGAGAGCAGGCCTGGCCCGTGAGGCTGTCCCCTGCTTTCAGGCCAGGGGGCATCACAGGGTGAGGAAAGGGCTTTGTGTGTCAAGGCCAGTGGTGAGTCAAACTGACCTGGTCTTGGCCAACCCAGACTCTGTGCTCAAGGCCTCCCCCAGCAACGCTGGGGTGGAGGAGGGGAGGGGGCTGTGATCAGCTCTACCCCTGGCAGCTAGCTGCCCAAGTGGACACTTGGGGTGGAGGAAGGGCAGGAAGGAACTCCTCAAGCCCGGTGTGCTGCAAGCTGGCTCGCAGGCTAAATGCTGGGAAAACCCCGTGACGTTGAAGCCTCCTGATTCTCCATTAACAGAGAAAAACAGAAGCCAAAATATAGCTCTGTCCGGAAACATCCTTGACAGCTGTGACAGCAGCCTGCTGGCCTGGTTTAGTCATTAGCCGGCAGCTGCCGCCCAGGGGCGGGAGGAGGGGAGGAGAGATGGGACGGGACCCCCCCACCCCGCCCCCATTGCTGAGCTGGGCAACTGGAGCACAGCTGGGCACTACAGGGTGGACAGCAGCCACTGTCATGGTGGTATGCAGTTGTGCAGTGACGGGGCCCCCTGGGTGACCAGGTGGCCCACGGCTACCCGCTATGTGCAGGTGAGCACGGGACTTCTCAGGGTCTGCAGACCCCAGACTTGGGCCCCAGTGCCTGGCTCCTGTCCTTTCCCACCGCGCCCAGCTCCCAGGGTGGGGCTGGGTCAGAGGGTGAGCTGCCAGGGACCCCGGGGCCTGATCTGCAGCGGACACTCATCTGCACCACAGCCTGTGGCTCCCCACTGGGCAGCTGGTCCCCCGGGCACCAGGCCCGGTTCGCCCTTTCCTCCGCTGCCCTGCTGGACACAAAGTAGTGTTAGGATCGTTAGACCTCCCTGGGTCTGACATGGAGCAGAGCCCCTCAGGGTTGTGGAGGATCCCCCAGAAGATATGGGGATCCCTGGAACTTCCCTCCACATCCCAAAATCTGCTGTCGTGGAGGGAGAGTAGGGTACTGTGGCATCCCTGCTGGCTCTTACGGAAGGCAGGGGTCCCCACAGGGCCCGGCGTCTCAGCCACTCTGAGTGCCAGCTTCTGCTCAGGGCCCTTAGGGGGTTGCCACGAGGCCTTCTGTGAGGCCCTGGCCATGCTAGGTACCCCAAGTTCTGTTGTCGTGTTGGGAACCAGCTTTCTTCTGGTGTTAGGGTCCTGACACAGGAGCCACTGCCAATCAGAGTGTGAGGATGAATGTGATTTTAATCCTAAAATCAACACCCCAGGGATCAGATTGACTAGGGCAAGAGCTTCTCAGGGTGGGGCATGGGGGGCCTGAGACAGACAGGTGCGGGGATGTGGTCCCTTCCTTGTCACCTCACACCTTTCCAGGTGTCCCCAGCGAGCTGTGGCAGGCCTGGGCTTGTGGGTGCCCAAGAGTTCCAGCACGGCCTGGGGTTCTGGGGCCCAGGAACAAATAATGTCAGCATGTCGTGGGCAAGTGTCCCCAGGTTGCAGTGAGATCGCCGGGGGCTATGGAGGGGTCCACACACAGGGATGGGGAGCATGAAGGCCTCTGTGCTTGAATGCTGGGGCAATACTGGTCCTGGGGAGGGAGGGTGAGGACTGGGGCCTCGAAAAGGCCACGCAGGCAGCAGGGGGTGGTGCGGCTGGGGAGGAGGTGGTCCCTGAGCGTGGGCAAGTCGAGGGTACCTGGGTGCAGTTAGAGGCCAGAGCACACTGGCCTTCCGCCTTGAGGGAAGAGACCCCTCGCCCCAGGGCACTGACCGAGCTGGCTGGCAGTGGCTTCCTCCCCTGTCTGGAACTGTTTCCTGAGCTGTGGGAAAAGGCCAGCCACGTGGCCACAGGGCTTTTTTTTTTATAAAATTTATCTATCTATGCATACAAGAACTGGGGTGTGGGCCAGAGATGTGGGGCACAGGATGAAAGGGTTCACTAGAGACAGAGTGGGGAGCAGAGCAGGAGGATCCACTGAAATACACTGCAGAGGGGAGCAGCGGGTGGGTCAGGAGAGGTCTGCCGCGCCATGTGGGTCAGCTCCCTGGCCGGGGATCGAACTCATGCTGCAGTGGCTACAGCCAGTTTCATAGTGCTGAGACTTAACCCTTTGGGTCACCAGGGAGAGCCCCGCAGGACCTTTTTACAGCCAGGCTTCCTGCCCTCCTGCAGGTGAGACGCAGGCTCTGTTTTGCTTCCTGGGGGTGGGATGTGTGTGCACACACTGTGTTTCTAACATGTGCAAGTGTGTAGACAGTGCCTTCAGACTGTGTGCGTGTGTGTGTGTGTGTGTGTACACCTCCTGTACATCTGCACCACCTTGAGAGGGACACAGGGCTCTTTGGAGGCTCTTTGTCCCCAAGCCCTCGGGTACCCCCCAGGCGTAATTCACGCCCTGGACAGGTCTTCTGCTGCTTTGAAAGCATCTACAGGGTGCAGCCCTGTCTGTGCACTGGTGTCCCCCGCGGAACTCTTTAACAAAACACCAACACCAAGATGACCCCAGTGATTCCTTCGAAGCTGCCAGTGAGTCTCAGGTTGGCATTTGAAGCCAGCTAGCCAGCAGGCCAGACTTGAGAGCAATTCTCAGTTCCTGCTGGTCAGAGTCATAGACGAGGCCCAGACCCTGGTCATTGAGAGGCCATGGCCCGGTGTCCTGGGAGGGGCTGGCAGTGCCGTTGAGGTGGGGACAGGAGGGCAGGAGCAGGAAAAGGGCCTTGAGCAGGAGGCCACAGGCCTGCAGGGTCCCCTTGGACTTCCAGGCTGTGAGTGACATAGGGCAGACCTCAAAAGCAAGGAAATTGCCCAGATTTAGGGGTGACAAGGTGTCTAGATGCTCCTGGAGAGTCGCGGGGTACAGCCTTGCAGGGGGAGCCTCAGATGCTCCCCTCCAGCAGTGGGATGACCTGGAGTCCCTGGCTGCTACTGACCTGTGCCCGGTCCCTCCCCAGGTCTGGAGACGAAGGGCACGGAGACCGTGTACAGCGAGATCCGGAAAGCTGACCCCGGTGAGTGGGGGGCCTTGGTGAATTAGCCTGGTCCCCAGAATCACCCATGGGGCTTGGAGTGGGCAGGGAAAGGGAGCAAAGGAAGCCAAAAAGAAGCGCTCCGTCTCCAGCGTTGACTCTCTTACCACCTTGCAAAGCAGCCCTGGGCCACCTGCACATTTCTCATCTGCCAGCCCAGAATTCTGCCGTAGGCCAGGCGCGCACACCTCCAGCGCTGCACCCAGCTAACCCGCGTGTTCCAGGTGTGCTCGCAGAACCCCGAGGTGCGCATGGCCTAGCCTCTCTCAGGCGTCACCAGCGAGGGCGAGGCTGCCCCCTGCCCCCCACGGGCACTGGCGCACCGGGAGGCTGCAGCCTGGGTCCAGGGCCCCCTTGGACTTCCAGGCCGTGAGTCAGTGCCCGCATTTTGCCACCATCCCAGGGGGAACCATCACTGTTGGTTCTCACAGACTAAAAGATGATGACGTTGAGCCTTTGGTAGATTTGTACAGGCCTTTAATGCCGAGTCAGGGACAGGCCAGCATTTTTCTGGGCTTCTCCTCGCTCTCCTGTAGGTGATGGTGCCCCTCTAGCCCTTCCCTGCCCCCTGCCCCCCATACCCCCTCCCCGGGCCCAGGTGTCCACAGCCATAGATGTGGCCTGGCACCCACACCTCCCAGCCCAGGCGCCCACACCTCTCAGCCCGGGCACCCACACTAGGGCAGGAGGGTGGGAAGGGCCTAATCACTGCATTTGCCCTACAGCCTGCTTTGAGGGGTTCAGCCTGAGCACACACTGACAGTGGGGGCGGGGAGCACAGGTCTGTTCCTTGGCTTCGGGCCTGCCCCCCTCTCCAGTTCCATCATTTGCTGAGCTCCAGCCCAAGTAGACATGGAAGGGGGGGCACACCCAGCAATTCATTTTGGTGTAATTATTGTAATTCAATCCGAGGAAGTGAAATCCTCTCAGAGGACTTTTAAATTCTGAAGATTGGGGCAACCCCGAGGGATAAACACTCGCTGTGCTGTTTCTCACTCAGTACCACAGGCCTCTAGTTTTGCCTCGTTGAAGAGGATATTTAAAATTCCCCGACTTCTTTAAAATGGGCTGGAACTCAAGTCAAACTTGGCTCCACCAGCGAGGTTGCAGACTGGAACCCTCAGCACTGGTGGGCTCAGCCCGGCCCAGCGAGGAGCTTCAGAATCTCCAGAATCCGAACCACAGAAGCTCCCGGATGTCCCGAGCTGCCAGTGTTTGAGAAGTGCTCTCTCTAGGAAGAGACTACTTTTTATCTGAATTTGAAATCGCTGCTGAGTCAATTTTTTTTATGGTATTTTCATAGTAAGCGCAGAAATGTAGCCTCTTGTGAAACTTGACCCGGCCAGAATAATTTCAGAAATTTCCCCATTCCCAAGGGAAATTTTGACTTAAATATCTCATTTTGCATTTTTGGTCTGTTTGGAGCCAGAAAAATGCAAATCGAAAGTAGATAGCTTCCTCTGTTCTTCCTTTTTCTCAGCGAAAACTGAAAAGTCAGGCTGTGGCAATGGCGGGCCAGGGGCCCCCCTGCCCTCCCGTGGTCCCGAGGTCGCTCACCGCCAGCTGCTCTGGTTGTAGTCTCACATCATGCACGCAGCCCGGAGGTCTGTGCACATTCACTCCGTCCTCACAACCCACTTTACAGAAGCTGAATCAGGCTGTGAGGGTCTAGGGACCCCTGGGACGCTCTAGGTTCTTGACTCGGGCAAGGAAAGAATTCAGCATCAATACCAGAATTACAGAAAAGCAAGAGGTTTATTAACAGGGAAAGGGGAGGACGGGAAGGCTCCCTGAGCAGAGAGGGGTCCTGGCCACCGAAAAGCGACCACTCCTGAAAAGCAGGAGTCTGTGCAGGTTCTTGTTGCTGGAGTCCTCAGTGGGCCTGTTGGGACCTGGCGACCCTCCGGTGGGGCTGGACTGGACAGGAGGCCTGGTGAAACCCAGCCCTGTAGGGCTGGAGGTGACCAAGGGCCCTGCTCAGCTGGGGGACCCCCAAGGCCTCTCAGGGGCGGCCACTTAGCAGCTGTGTGGTTTTACCCAGCGCACCCAAGCTATCTGGGACTCCTGCGCTGTCTGGGACTCCGTCTCTCTATCTGTTAACTAAGATGGCACTAGTGAGAAAAGGGGATGCGATAAGATTAGGGGTGTGATGCTAATGACCCCAAGCACGCAGTTTCTTGTCTCTGCCATAGAGGAAGCATTCGGTCCTCTTTAGCCAAAAAGCCTAAGAGAATTGGGGTGCCAATTGAGTCATTGCCCAACTCCCAGGTTGGGGTGCTCCCACTGCACCCAAGGGTTCAGCTGGGGCTGAGGTCCCTGTAGAACATCTCGCTTCTAACCTGGTAGCCGACGCCTGCCCAGGGGCTGAGGGCGGACAGGGCGCTGGACTGAGTAACCGAAACCAGAGCCAGCCCCCTCTTCCTTTCCCTTCCAGGTTCCTCTGCTGGAATCAAGGCTGTTGCTCTTTCTGAAAGTGCTGGTTCAGCTGCCAGCAGTTGGTGGGGGCGGGGCGGGGAAGCTGCAGGCCTCTGGTGACTCCCTTTTCTCTTTCTTTACCCTCTACTGTCTCACCAGCCCTCACATTCTTCAGAAAGCCAGTGGGGGGCGCTGCTATCACTCCTAGCCTGGAGTGTGGACGTGGGCACGCTGGTCCCAGCACCTGCCCTTTCCAGCTTCTTTGGTTTGGTTTGCACGTTGGCATCCCCTTTTCCAGATGAATCTCCACTGTCTGCTTTAGAAACAGCAGCCTGGCCTTGGGCGAGTTCAAGAACCTCGCGGAACCTCCGTCTGCTGTGAACCAGGAGCGGGGCTAGAAGAGAGACAAGGTCCTTGAGCTGTCCTAGAGCGCAGGAGGTTGGCACCACCCAGCCTTCTGAGACTGCAGGTCTGGGTATCTGCATTTCTAACAAGCTCCCACGCTTTCTAGCTGTTGTGCGTTCTCACGCTAAGTGCTGCTCCGATTCCTGATTGACGGCGTAGGGTCTTTCTCATTCCCCAGAAATCGTGGAGGGACCGTTCAGAGCTGACCAGCAGAGAGAATGGCAGAGAGGGAGAGAGAGGATGTGTTAGGGGACGAAGGTGACCCGTGAGAAAATAAAGGCCTGGGCGGGAGGTGGTCTCGGGCGGGCCGCGCAGTGTCAAAGCAGAGCTGAGTCCTGCCAGCCTTTCCGAGTGCCCGCTCTCCACCTTAGCTTCGCCACTTCTCCCAAGCAGCCCCACGCGGGGCGGGCTATTTTGGGATCAGACTCACTGGGCATAGTTCTGGCCCTCCAGCCCCCCCTTTCCCCAGAGTGATACAGAGGGAAACGGCTCTTCCAGAGAAGCCAAAGAGCCTGGAGCAGCCCTGCTTTGGAGAGATGTTCAGGGTGGGCTCTGCCAGCACCAGGGGTGCTGGTGGGTGAGGAGCGCAGGGCTCTCAGGCTGTGGGGTCACTGGTCTTTGTGGTCCTGACGTTGGGGCAGCCTTTTCTTTTTCTTCTTCTTCATCTTTTTTTTTTTTTTTAAGATTTATTTATAGAGGCATACAGAACTGGGGTACAGGCCAGAGATGCAGGGCAGTCAGAGGATTCACCAGAGACACAGTGGGGAGCAGAATAGGCAGATGGACAAAGTACACTGCTGAGGGGAGCAGTGGGCGGGTCAGGAGAGGTCTGCCGCGCCATGTGGATCTCCTTGGGGCACGCGGGGATCGAACTCATGCTGAAGTGGCTTTAGCTTCCCAGTGCTGTGCTTTAACCCGCTGCGCCACCAGGGAGGGCCCTTTTCTTTTTTTTTTTTTTTTTTTAAGATTTATTTATTTATGCACACAGGCCAGAGGTGCCACTCTGAGTGCAACCACGTGGCTAAGCCAGGGCTGTTTCCATGCCAACTTGGCTCTTTCCCAGTGCTGGATGTTTGACAGTGCCTCAGCTTCTCCCGAAAGTGCCTTATGAAATGGCCTGCAGGCCACCCACAGCAAAATCCTGGATTTGAAAATGGAAGAGTAAAGTGGTTTATTTCATCAGCCATGTGGTCAGTTCTTCCCTAGGAGAGAACTCGGGTCTAGCTGGAGAGTCCCACAGCTTCAAGCAGGGGCCACAGGGGTCATTGAGTGGTGTCCGGAGATAGTTTTGCTCTTCATCATTTGAGGTAGGGTGGGGGTGTGCTACCATATCTAACGGGTAGAGGCCAGGACTGCTGCTAAACCTCTTAAGATATGTAGGAAACCCCCATCGTGGAGAATGACCCAGCCCAGAACGGCAGAGGGCCGAAGTGAAGAAACCTGGCTAACAGGAGATGAGGGGTTCTCATTCTCCAACAGGAGAGCCAGCTCTCCCTCAAGAAAGTGCTCGAGCTTTGCCTGTGCCCATCTTGGGAGGTGCCCGAGCACGTCCGTGCACCTGACAGCAAGGCTCTGGGAAGAGAGCACAGCTCAGCTCCAAACACTGGCCTATGTCTTTTGGGTTCTGTTCCTTCAGCCTCCACTCCGCTTTCTCTTTGGCTTCTAGATGTTTCTTACAGGGGGACAGATGTATGGTAAAGCAGAGTAGCTGGCTGTCAAGAAAGAACCAAAGAATAGAGGGTCTCCAAGCCAGGCCCCTCTGAGAGCCCGCCCCAAGCATCCTGTGAGGCCCGCGGACACTGCCCTCCCTGCAGGGTGGCGTTTCCTGCCTAACAAGCCAAGAGAATAATAAAAAAAAAATCCATGACAAGAGATGGGTTCTACCCACCAGTTTCTATTTTTGTGCAGTCGCCCCACGACCAAGAAGAAATAAAACTGCTGGGAGCAGAGGCCCAGCCTCCTGTCAGCATCCCCGGCCGATGGGAGCTCTGGCATCTCAGGCTCACATTTAGGAAACGCAGTGTGAGGCTCTTTCCCTCTGCGTCTGATTCCAGAGCCCTAGGGCTTTGGGGCCCTAGGAAGCTTGGGGTCCTGTGAGTCTTCCCAGGTCAGCTCTGGGGTGGGGGTGGGGTGCTGCCCAGGGCCCCACTCAATGTGTGGAAGTTTACACAATGGCTGGACTTCGTGGTGCGGCTGATTCATCCATCTGGCGTGGACGCCTGCCTCTGGCCCGGCCAGGACAGAGGGGGCCCCCGAGAAACTTCTGGCCCTGTTCCCTCTGGAGGAGACTCACAATGGAGCTGTGATAAGACAGGGCGCGAGGGGGAAGTGGACTTGTGGAAACAGGATATTTTAAATTAGAGAAAGAAGCAGAGAGGCTGTGACTGCCGTTGTGATAGATGAGACTGCCCGTTGGGGCTGTGGCGGCTAGTCAGCAACCTAGGGGCTCAGGAGGGCTTAGGGGGGCTTCAGTCTTCCTTGTCCCTCCACCACCTTCCTGGGGCCACTTTCACCATCACAGCCGGGCAGTGCCAGCGAGCCTGAGCCTGCTCTCTGGTGAAAGACTGTGGCCTCTGGGAAGC